AAAACAACATCTCCCTCTCGGTTAGCAGAAAACGTAGTCTGGATCCAACCTGCAGGCTTTTAATGTTCTACCATTTACCCATTTTTGACAAGGAAGAAAACCCCAGCTCCTTCCAAGATTGGTCTTTTAAACCATAGCCAGGAAGTCAACAGAATTCCCATATAGCCTACCCGGACTTTAGCAGTGGTAGTCAGAGGTGTGTAAGCAGTAGATTCCGTTATTTCCTGCTTCTCTTGCTGTGCCTCTGGTCCAATGAGCGCACTGAAGTTAGTGGTTAGGTGGCGCCTTAGCAGAGTCTTTTGAGAAGGAATGTTGAGAAGCATTGCCAGAGTGTCACCATTGAAACGAGGTTCAAGGATCTGGAGGGGAAACAGAGCCAGATGCACTCTACTTTATACATGGCCGTTAAAGCACGCAAAAGGAACTGTTACGTTACTTGTGGGTTTTAATATTTCTACACAGTGTCCATAATACTTCACAGTACTGCAGGCAGGAAACAACTCCTTACAAGCTTTAGCCATTATAATAATTTCCAGTGGTCATAAGAACATAAAAGAAGCTATGTTGGATCAGGCTAATGGCCCATCCAGTCCAACACTCTGTGTCACACAGTGCCCAAAACCCAGGGGCCATCAGGAGGTCTACCAGTGGGGCCAAAACTCTAGAAGCCCTCCCACTCTGGCCCCCCAAGCACCAAGAATGCAGAGCGTCACTGCCCCAGACACAGTGTTCCATCTATTCCTTGCAGCTAACAGGCACTGATGGACCTCTGCCCCATATGTTTATCTAATCCCCGCTTGAAGCTGTCTATGCTTGTAGCTGCCACCACTTCCTGTGGCACTGAATTCCACATGTTAATTACCCTTTGGGCGAAGAAGTACTTCCTTTTATCTGTTTTAAACCTACTGCTCATTAATTTCATTGAGTGCCCACGAGTTCTTGTATTGTGAGAAAGGGAGAAAAGTAACTCTTTCTCTACCTGCTCTATCCCATGCATAATCTTATAAACCTCGATTGTGTCACCCCTCAGCCGTCGTTTCTCCAAGCTAAAGAGTCCCAAGTGCTTTAACCTTTCTTCATAGGGAAAGTGTTCCAACCCTTTTATCATTCTAGTTGCCCTTTTCTGCACTTTTCCCAATGCTGTAATATCTTTTTTGAGGTGCGATGACCAGAACTGTACAAAGTATTCCAAATGAGGTTGCACCATCGATTTATACAGGGGCATTAAGATACTGGCTGATTTGTTTTCAATTCCCAGCTATATCAGCAAAGGATTGGGAATTGGTCAGCTCTATTAGCAAATAATTAATCCGTAATTTTCAATAGAAATTCTTGGGAGCAGCACTACTGGAAACTGTGGATTAATGTATTCCCAATGCTTGTGGATATAACCATGCATGCATAATACGCATTACAATTCCATAGGATATTAATATTTATATAGTACCACCAGTGTTCATGGCACTTTAAAACAAGAAACCAAGAAAAAAGCTTCTTGCCACTGAATTTTCATGGCGGCAGAAAACAATAAGGGGAGGAAAGAATAACCAAGGGATGTACCTGAATGGATGCACCTCTCTCTCTCTCTCATTCTCTTGATACAGACACCCCCACACCCCCATTCTGGCTTCAGTAAAAGTGGAGAGCGGCTCTGGCTCACTGGTAGAGCGTGTTCTTTGCCTGTAGAAGGTCCCAGGTTCAGCCTCTGGAATCTCCAGTTAAAGGAGCTCAGTAGTGCTGGAAAAGTACTGCTGCTTTACAGGCCCGCAGGGCCTCTAAGGCAAAGGTGTTCTGCCAGGCTTTTATTTATTTATGTATTTATTTTTATTTATATCCCGCCCTCCCCGCAAATGGGCTCAGGGCGGCTCACAAATTTATCAGCACCATGTGCCAACTCCACATAAAATGATTAAAAACAAATTAAAACAATCATACAGTAAGCAGTTAACAATTAAAGTGCTTGCAATATTGATCGTTCATTCAGTAAATTAAAGGTGGCGTACTATAAGGTGCAATACTAAAATCCCGATTCAGCGGTATTCCGGCATCCCGCCGCACTGTGGCTCAATCTCCATCCAGGGCCATTACTACAGATGTTAATAGTAATAACAGTTGGTGGTAGTGGTGGGCGGCTCCTAGCTGAAAGTCTGGTGGAAGAGCTCCGTTTTGCAGCCCCTGCGTAACTGTACAAGGTCCTGCAGGGCCCTGATCTCCTCTTGGAACTCATTCCACCAGAGAGGAGCCGCCACTGAAAAGGCCCTGGCCCTAGTAACAGCGAGCCTGGCATCCTTGGGGCCTGGAATAATTAATCAATGTTGTGACCCCAACCCTAGTGCTCTCTGGGGTATATATGGGGAAAGGCGATTTCATTTGTTTTGTTTCTAAATAATCGTACGTGGCTCTGTTTCTAGAGCCATGCTTTGCAGCAGAGGTCATTTCGGGGGGGATCGCGGGGGATCGCAGTTCCCCCGGGTGAGGTGCAGGGGGGCGGGGCACATGACGAAGCCCCGCCCCCTGCTTCCAGCCGCCCCGCTTCCAGCCCTCATTCATCCAGGAGGAGGCAGGAGAAGAGGGAGGGTAAGTCAGAGGTAATTTCGGGGGGGATCGCTGGTGATCGCAGTTCCCCCGGGTGAGGTGCAGGGGGGCGGGGCACATGACGAAGCCCCGCCCCCTGCTTCCAGCCGCCCCGCTTCCAGCCCTCATTCATCCAGGAGGAGGCAGGAGAAGAGGGAGGGTAAGTTGCTTCCTCCCCGCCTCTCCCCACCCCTGCCTGCCTGGGACCAGGGAGGGCCTTGGCGGGGCTTCCTCGCACTCCCGCTGGCCTTGCAGGTCCACCGCTGGGCCCCTGATGTCAGGGGGTGTGGCATATGCTAATGAGTTATGCTAATGAGTCCCCCTAGCTCTTTTTCTACGAAACGACCCCTGCTTTGCAGCCTCCTGCTCTAGCCACTGCACCACACTGGCATTGGAGGTCCATGTGCTGTCTGCTGCTTTTCTTGTCCCCCCATCGTGTCACGTCCCCCAGCCACGACCTGACACTCCCCTCTTGCCACTTGAGTTGACACACACATGAAAAACTTAAATCTGCCACCCATGGGGACACTCTATCCACAGCTACCTTGCATTTCCTCCTTTGACTTGATTAAAGGGAGAAAGCCACAGGAGCCTCATGGGTTGTGCTTGGAATGAGTCTGATGCTGTGTGGAAGCTCAACGACAACAGAAGTGAGGGCCTGCTGCATTCCATGTGAGAGAAAAAACCTGTGTGGAAGCAGCCAACGGCTTGATTTGATACAAGCAGCTGTATATATCCATACACCCGCTGAGATTTATGGTTCTCAATAAACTAAAAAGATTAGCATAACTTTTCAATCTTTGCTGTCAAAGGCAGCAAGAAAGAGATGAGTTTTAGGAATGAATGACCAGGAATGAAGGACGGGATGTCCCTAGAAAAGTAGCTCCTCTGTCTGCAAATGCCTGCTCAGGAAGGAAGCAGATTCATGTGTGCACCCCTTTGCACAGGCAGAACTGTCCATGGCAAAGGAATAAATGCAATGTCCTGTGCAGCTGACGGCATGCATCTGAGCACACACTCATCTCCGCATCCATAGCAGAGGGATAAACAGAGTTCCCTTGTTACTTATTTGTTTAACATTTTGCTCTGCACCACATTCCACACCTTGGGAAATCCAGTTTAATTGGTAAAAAGGTAAAGGTAAAGGTTCCCTTGCTCGAAAGCCAGTCGAATCCGACTCTAGGATTGCGGTGCTCATCTCCGTTTCAAAGCCGAAGAGCCAGCGCTGTCCGAAGATGTTTCCATGGTCATGTGGCCAGCATGACTAAAAACCAAGGCGCACGGAACGCTGTTACCTTCCCACCGAAGTGGTACCTATTTATCTTCTTGCAATTTCTTGCTTTCGAACTGCTAGGTTGGCAGGAGTTTAATTGGTAGAATACTTAAAAAATAACTTCAGAATTGGAGCATGTGCAGTTTACATGACTGATGAGGCTGTGAGCCAACTCTTAGAAATTAACTTGGCAAAGAATACTTTCTGCTTATTTAACAAAGATAAAACTAAGAATCAAAAATATCCTCCCTTTAATAAATTGTAAACAATTGTTCATCTTCAGTCTAAGCAATCTGACATTTGCAATTTTGGAAGGGATATTGCAGCTTGAAAGAAATTTGTTTCTTCCAACCAACTTCCTGGTATTGCATGCATTCACTTCAGTACGTGCTGACGCTTTATCAATAACTGATTTGAAAGTAATTTCCGCTCTCTAATTTCAGTTTCACATACCCATATCTTAAAATGCCACAGACTTTAAGCATGGCCATTTATAAAATTTAATTTATACATTGTCAAATTTATTTTTCATAAGGGAGTTGAAAGCTGATCAATGAACACACTTCCTATCATATGAAATACAGTTTCCTTTTCTTCAGCTCACAGAAAGCAGGGTGTGCAGTTCTGCAATATACTTCAGAAGATGCATTTGAATTTTTATATTAGCAAAAAGAAAAGCACATTTCAAGAAAGAGTTTCTTACAATGAGGCCACCATGAACTCCACTCCCTCGAAGGTTGGGTGCATATTCTGCCAGATCTACTGATCTGAGCCACTCCATCACTCTGTGATTGGACCACTGAACTACTTCAGATGGTGAAATGTTATTCTAGTATGGAAAAGATACATAGAAATGAAACATGCGAATGACATTGATGCCTGACTAGCTCAGTTACTATTTCTATATGTCTTCTTGCTCTTAAATTCATTCATGTGTAAATCAACCACTCAAATCACGTTTTGCACTTAGAACGACGCAATTCGAAAGTCCACATTCATTTTACTACAAAAGAGAATCTACTTCTCTCAACAGTTATTCCAGCACCCCCTTTTCTTAGTCAAAGCCCCTCAGACGCATGAAGTGCTACTAGGCAGAAGCAGCTCTGCAGACAACAGAGAAATGAGAAGAGGCTACTTTAAAACAATAGCCAATCCAAAGAATAATCAGTTCATTCAGGGTGGCTGAGGACAACTCTGAAGTATCCATCTCAACCCATCTATTAACAGTGGGGACTGGTCCTCATCACCAGATTGCCAACTTCCAGCTGGGTCTAGCAACAAATGAATACACACTGCAAAAACCTTATAACAAACTAATGTGTTCTATTTATAATCATCATTTAGTAAAGTGCAGAGTGTATCATTATTTCATCCTAGTCAGGTATAAATATTCATTACATTCAATAAGCAATAACATTCAGTACATACAGATTGATAACGACCAGACCATTTTGCATCAGTGTTTTAAACGTCAAGCCCCAGCGGGAGTTTCCAGAACGAAAAGCCCGCCTCTCCTTGCATGGAGTCTTCCAAAAAGGGGGACAGCTTTCTTAAAAGCTGCATCTTTGAGAATGACAGGAGTACTCCGTCCATGAATGTTAGCTGCATAATGTGTCTTTCGTAGGACCGACAAGAAAAAGCATCCATACAACTATTAAGAAAGCGGTCCCCCTTTTTGGAAGACTTCATGCAAGGAGAAGCAAGGGCTTTTAGTTCTGGAAACTCCCGCTGGGGCTTGACGTTTAAAACACTGATGCAAAATGGTCTGGTAGTTATCATTCTGTAGGTACTGAATGTTATTGCTTATTGAATGTAATGAATATTTATACCTGACTAGGATGAAATAATGATACACTCTGCACTTTACTAAATGATGATTATAAATAGAACACATTAGTTTGTTGTAAGGTTTTTGCAGTGTATATTTATTTTGTTGCTAGACTTTCCTGACACTGCAGCTCGGGTTGCTTCAACTTCCAGGTGGGGTCTGGAGCTCTCCTGGTGTTACAACTGATCTCCAGAGGACAGAGGTCAGTTCCCCTGGAGAAAACGGCAGCTCTGGTGGTTGGACTCCAGGAGTCATTTCCTGCAGGAGCGCACAGGAGCGGAGCTCCGGCAGTAAAGAGCCCAGGGGGCGGGCACATGCAACAAGCCCCACCCCCTGCTCCCAGCAGCCCTCAGTCAGAGCAAGAAGCAGCCAGGTAAGTTGCAGAGCCCCCCCGCCCCCCGGTCCATAACAGTCCAGTGGCACCTTTAAGACCAAGTTTTATTCAGGTACAAGCTCTCCCTCCTCTGCGAGGACAGATCTGCACGTTCCCCCCCCATATAGTTAGCAATCCAAAACAGTCCAGTGGAGCCTGAACGGTGGGTGTTGCCTTCTGACACACTTCCGGTGATGTCAGGGGGGGTGGCACATACAAATAGGTTATGCTAATGAGTTATGATAATGAGCTCCTGCACCTCTTTTTCTACGAAATGACCCCTGTTGGACTCTATGGTATTATACCTGCTGAGCTCCCTCCCCTCCCCTCTACAAACCCCACCCTTCCCGGGCTCCAGCCTCTGCAGCTTTAAGCACAAATACTTTTGCCTAACAGAGGAACAATTCACATGTCTGAGGAACTGAGCTCTCATTCCTGAAAGCTGATGTTGGAATAAATTCTATTGGTCTTTACAGTGCCCCTGGACTCCTGTTTTATTTCAGTTCTAGAGACCTGAATCGTACTCTTCATGGGCAGATCCATCTGGCAGGGTAGGGGCTCCAATCTGCTGGTAGATCTGCTCATGGGCAAACATCTACAAAGATGGCTTATTCTTGATTTCACAAGCTGCTCCCTGCACACACTGGTCTGAACATGAGCAAAGAGAAGCAGAGGGGGCGAAGAAGGGACAAGACAGCTGGCACCCCCCACCCCTTTATCCCAGAAAGTAAAGGCAGACGGAGCTTTAATAGTCTTCTCTATTGCTTTCTGCCATCTGAGATAAGCAGGCACTGCTTCTAGGCAATTAGCGGTCACGGAATGGATGGGCGGTTTGTTTTTTCTCACCTCATCTGCTGGCCTCCTCCGCAGACAGTGAGGGTTGAAACTATTCACATGCAGCACATGAATGGCACACTTTATACTGAGATGATGCAGCTGGCTGGTGACCTTGAGGAACAGGAGGTCATTCTGCAAAATAAACCAGCACAGCATAACCGTTGTCAAAGACAGTCTACTCTGCAGCTCTGTAGGGCAGACTGGACCTTACGAGATATCTTTATAAAAAAAATGGAAATCTGGAAAAAAAACCCACAATTTTCTTCTGTCGGAGGGACTGAAGGAGAATTATGATCAGAAAAATCTAATGCCAAGGTAGCCTTAACGGGGTTTAGAGAAATTCATGCAGGTTAGCCAATCACCCTTTTCAGCTAAATGGAACCTCTATGTGTGTGTGGGGGAGGGAAGCACGGCATATCCGAGGCAGAACAGTCTGAGAAGCCGTACTGGGCCCCTATGCAGCTGGCAACATAAAGTTTAAAGGCTCCCTGGGCCAGTGAGCAGGGAAGGAGCAGTAGCTGCTCTGCCTCCTGGGCAGACGAGGCGGCGGTGGGGCTCAGCACCAGTGATGGCCAGAACTTGCACAGCTGTTTCCAGTAAACTGGAGTGGGGCCACTCCTCCCATCAGGATCCAAAGATCCCTTCTCCACAATCACTGATCCTTCCCACTTGCGTCTTCTTAACGGTCACTTTCTCATGAAAAAGAGTTCACGGGATGCATCCTGTGCACAGCAACACAGCCTGTCTCTAGGGGGCAAATCACTCCTCCCCTGGACTTTTACTCCTGTTCAGGGTAACGGCACAGTTGGGGTAGGCGTGACCCAGAGTGGGAACAGCACACGCAGGAAGAAAGGAGAACAGGCAAATCTCTTAGGGCTGTGTCACCGCCAACAGGGTAGGATCACGGTCTGCATCCTGCCCACTCTGTCTCATGCCAATCCACCCACCGGGTCCAGGGCAGGTCTCAGATAGCTGAAATGGAAGGAGTGACCTGCAAGACAAGATCTGCTGGCACAGAATGTGGCGGGATGTGTGCTGACGGTGACGCCTGTCCGGGTGCACGTTCAGCCGGGTCCTCCGCCAACTGCACTGGCTGCCTAAAGAGTACCGGATCCAGTTCAAGGTTCTAGCGCTGGTTTTTACAGCCCTATGTGGCCATGGACATGCATATTTCCGGGACCGTCCCTCCCCATGTGTGCCCTGCAGAGCTTTGCGCTCAACTGATCAACATCTTCTGATTGTCCCTGGCCCAAAGGACGTCTGGCTAGCCTCAACTAGGGCCAGGGCCTTTTCAGCCCTGGCCCCATCCTGGTAGAACAAGCTCCCAATTGAAATCAGGGCCCTGCAGGATTTGTTACAATTCCACAGGGCCTGTAAAACAGAGCTGTTTTGCCGGGCTTTTAGTTGAGGCAGCAAGCATCCACATTTCCGTTCCTGGCGTCCCCTGCTGATAGCCCTGGCCTTGTGGTTAGTGGACTGATATCCAACAACACCATTCAGAAGGCTCCACCTGAGAGTTGCTACCGAGGCAACTTTTCACTCTGGTTTTTTGGTACTAAACTTTTGAATTTTGTCGCTGGGAAAGATTGAAGGCCAAAGAAGACGGGGACGGCAAAGGATGAGATGGTTAGACAGTGTCATCGATGCAACGAACATGAAGTTGAGCCAACTTCAGAGGACGGCGGAAGACAGGAGGGCCTGGCGGGAGCTGGTCCATGGGGTCGCGAAGTCGGACTCGACTGTGCGACTGAACAACAACAAAATTATTCATATATTGCCTGAACTTGATCTATTGTCTATTAATTATGTTTTATGTGATTTGTGAGCCGCATTGAGCCCGCTTGTGGGGAGGGCGGGATATTAAATAAATAAATAAACGGTGCAATGGGAACAGACGGTCTCATTCTCCTCTGTGGCTTCCCACTCCCATGCAGCCCAACGCTGGCTGCTGCTGATACTGACTTCCTGGCTTCCACCTTTCCCCATTCTCTGTTCTCTTCAGTTGTCTTTACTATGGAATTATATGGCTTAAAATTGTATGAACAGACTGCTTCTTCCCCTCCGAAGGTTCCTTGAGGAGTAAAACAAACCCACAAGTTTTTTCTAGGGCCACCAAAAGAACAGTTACTTTTGCTGTGTTTTTATTTGGTTTGGGAAAGTTACAAAAGAGCAAACTTGGAATACAAATGTAAAAGACAAAAGTGTACATAAAAACAAATTATGAGGCTAAAAAGTTCCTGTGCGGGGAAGGTTTATACCCTTCGACTGCTCTCAGCGTGAAAGAGAGGCTGTGCAAATACGAAACATATAATCACAAGTCAAACTATCTTACCACTGTCAGATATTGCAGCATTCTGCCGTCTACTCTGGATTCGTGAAACTGGTCTTTGTACTGAGGTAGACCTATGTCATCCAGCCACCCTGCAAAATAAGTACCAACAATAAACAGAGATATACGGATTTTTGTATTTTATATAAAAGGTAAAGGTTCCCTTGCTCGAAAGCCAGTCGAATCCGACTCTAGGGTTGCGGTGCTCATCTCCGTTTCAAAGCCGAAGAGCCAGCACTGTCCGAAGACGTTTTCCGGGTTCATGTGGCCGGCATGACTAAACGCCAAGGCGCACGGAACGCTGTTACCTTCCCACTGAAGTGGTACCTATTTATCTGCTTGCAATGTCTTGCTTTCGAACTGCTAGGTTGGCAGGAGCTGGAACTAGAGACGGGAGCTCACTCCGTCATGCGGCACACTCGGGTCTCGAACTGCTGAACTACTGACCTTCCACAGCCTGCAGTTCAGCGTCTTAACCACTTGAGCCACCGCAGCTCCTTGTATTTTATATACAAGCTTATAAATAAGAACATAAGAACATAAGAGACGCCAATGTTGGATCAGGCCAAAGGCCCATCCAGTCCAACACTCTGTGTCACACAGTGGCCAGAAATACCAGTGCCATCAGGAGGTCCAGCAGTGGGGCCAGGACATTAGAAGCCCTCCCACTGTTGACCCCCCCCAAGCACCAAGAAGACAGAGCATCACTTGCCCCAGAGCCCCTAGCTATACCTTGTGGCTAATAGCCACTGATGGACCTCTGCTCCATATGCTTATCTAATTCCCTTTTGAAGCCGTCCATGCTTGTAGCACCCACCACTTCCTGTGGCAGTGAATTCCATGTGTTAATCACTCTTTGGGTGAAGAAGTACTTCCTTTTATCCGTTCTAACCCGACCGCTCTGCAGTTTCATGGAGTGCCCACGAGTTCTTGTATTGTGAGAAAGGGAGAAAAGTACCTCTTTCTCTACCTGCTCTTTCCCATGCATAATCTTATAAACCTCGATCATGTCACCCCTCAGTCGTCTTTTCTCCAAGCTAAAGAGCCCTAAGCGCTTTAACCTTTCCTCATAGGGAAAGTGTTCCAACCCTTTTATCATTCGAGTTGCCCTTTTCTGCACTTTTTCCAAAGCTATAATATCCTTTTTAAGGTGTGGTGCCCAGAACTGCACACAGTATTCCAAATGAGGTCTCACCATTGATTTATATAGGGGCATTATTATATTGGCTGATCTGTTTTCAATACCCTTCCTAATAATCCCCAGCATAGCATTGGCCTTCTTTATTGCAGTCACACACTGTCTCGACATTTTCAGTGAGTTATCCACTACAACTCCAAGATCTCTCTCTTGCTCAGTCTCTGCCAGTTCAGACCCCATCAATGTGTATTTATATTTAGGATTTTTGGCTCCAATGTGCATCACCTTGCACTTGGCCACATTGAACCCCATTTGCCATGTTGACGCCCACTCGCCCATCCTTGACAGATCCCCTTGGAGTGCCTCACAATCCTCACTGGTTTTCACCACCCTGAACAACTTTGTATCATCCGCAAATTTAGCCACTTCACTGCTTACTCCCATCTCCAAATCATTAATGAACAAGTTAAAAAGCAGTGGACCAAGTACTGATCCCTGCGGTACCCCACTGCTTACCACCCTCCACTGAGAAAATTGCCCACCTACACTCACTCTCTGTTTTCTATGAACTAGCCAGTTTTTGATCCATAAAAGGACTTGTCCTTCTATCCCATGATTTTTGAGCTTACTTAGGAGCCTTTGATGAGGAACTTTATCAAAAGCTTTCTGGAAGTCAAGGTAAATAATATCTATTGGATCCCCCTTGTCCACATGTTTGTTCACCCCCTCAAAGAACACTAACAGGTTAGTGAGACAAGATCTTCCCTTACAGAAACCGTGCTGAGTCTGCCTCAATAGGTTTTGTTCATCTATGTGCCTACTAATTCTTTCCTTAATAATGGTTTCCACCAATTTACCCGGTATCGACGTCAGACTGACTGGCCTGTAATTTCCCGGATCTCCTCTGGAACCCTTTTTAAAGATGGGAGTGACATTAGCTACCTTCCAATCCTCAGGAATGGAGGCAGATTTTAAGGAAAGATTACATATCTTTGTCAGGAGATCTACAAGTTCACATTTGAGTTCTTTCAGAACTCTCGGATGTATGCCATCTGGGCCTGGTGATTTTTCAGTTTTTAAGTTGTCTATCAGTTTTAGGACCTCCTCTCTCATCACCTCAATCTGACTCAGGTCTTCCAACACCCCTCCTGAAATCAGTGGTTCTGGAGTGGGCAAGCACTTCTCATCTTCCACAGTGAAGACGGAGGCAAAAAATGCATTTAGCTTCTCAGCCATTTCCCTATCATCCTTCAATACTCCTTTTACCCCTTGGTCGTCCAAGGGCCCCACTGCCTCCCTGGCTGGTTTCCTGTTTCTAATGTATTTGAAGAAAGTTTTATTGTTGGTTGCCACCTTTTACACCTCCTTCGTGCCTTTTTGCCTCCCCACATGCTCAGCTACCCTCAGCCATAATTTTCAGAGTCACGTGAGTAGCCATGTTGGTCTGAAGCAACAGAACAAAGCCTGAGTCCAGTGGCACCGTTAAAACTAACAAAGTTTTATTCTGGGTATGTACACATGAAAGCTTATACTCAGAATTAAACCTTATTGGTCTTAAAGGTGCCACTGGACTCAAGCTTTGTTCCATTATTTTCAGGTTAGGTCTTTTGCTGTTAGCTGTCTTTTAAAGAAGTCAAGAAACAGCTTTCAGCTTTTCAATACTTTCAAAAGTGCTAAATCCAGGGGTCATTTCCTGCAGGAACGCACAGGAGCGGAGCTCCGGCAGTAAGACGCCCAGGGGGCGGGCACATGCAGCAAGCCCCACCCCCTGCTCCCAGCAGCCTTTAGTCAGAGCAAGAAGCAACCAGGTAAGTTGCAGAGCCCCCTCCCCCCGGTCCAAAACGGTCCAGTGGGACCTTTAAGACAAAGTTTTATTCAGGTACAAGCTCTCCCTCCTCTGTGTGGACAGATCTGCATGTTCCTCCCTCACCCCCACCCCCACCCCCAATAGCTAGCAATCCAAAACAGTCCAGTGGAGCCTGAGCAGTGGGTGTTGCCTTCTGACACACCTCCGGTGATGTCAGGGGGTGTGGCATAGGCAAATAAGTTATGCTAATGAGTTATGCTAATGAGCTCCTGCACCTCTTTTCCTATGAAATGACCCCTGGCTAAATCTAAGCAATGCTACTAAACTTGAATCTACTCCAGGACAGCAACCTATTGGCAAAAAGGGAAACCAAACTAACTTGGAATCAGGACATCCAAATGCCCCCACTCCATTTCAGTGACTCCCCTATTGCCTCAACCCCTTCCCCTGCTAAAACTAAATAAGCTTCCACAAAATGTAAAGTGAGCAAGAAAGACTGTCCGTATCTATGAGCTTCATTTCATTCTTAGCACGTACGTGTCACCCAGAGATGATCCAGCTGTGCAGATTTATCATCTTGTTTGGTGTTTATAGCTTTAACAGCCAAAACCAATTTCTTCCTGTGCAGAGGCTGCTTTATGCCGAGCTCCTATGAAAGGACAGTAAATGATCATGAAAAAGGAGATTGTACAAATAAAGAACCCATATCTTTTAGAGATTAATTTCCCCAAAGAAACTGTTATTTGAACTAGCTGCTGTATTTGCTATTGGGAGTTTCTGAAAATTGGGATGAACCCCTAAACCTCAGGGAAGCACAATTCTATTTCTATTTGGCTTTCTTTATAGCCTGTTTTTCACCCCAATGGAGACCGAGACCCAAAGCAGCTTACATCATTCCCTTCTCCTCCATTCTCTCCTCACAACAATCCTATGAGGTAGTTTAGGCTCAGAGTGTGTGACCGGCCTAAGGTCACCCAACAACCGTCCATGGCCCGAGTGGGGATTCAAACCTAGATTCCCCAGACTCTAGTCTGACACTTGAACCACTACAACACTCTGGCTCTCATAAGGTGAGCTGCTGGAAGAACTGTGGTCCAATAAGCCAAGAGGAGCATTAGCATCTGTCATATGTACACCCCTGGATTTCAAGCTGAGACATCTTCTGACACTAAAGTGTGAAAACATTTTGTAACCAGCAAAATGTGGGGGTACACATCCTTGGGGACAGATCACCTTTGCTGGCTTTCCACCAATATCCCAAAAATGGTCTCAACAGGGTTTCAAATATAAAGAATGAAGGCTGAGTCCAGTGGCACCTTTGAGTCCAACAAATTTTAATTCTGGGTATAAGCTTTGTGTGCAAGCACACTGAAGTGTGCACTGAAGTGTGCATGCACACGAAAGCTTATGCCCAGAATTAAAATTTGTTGGACTCAAAGGTGCCACAGGACTCAAGCTTCGTTCTGTTGCTTGAGGCCAAGCTGAATCAAATATAAAGAGTCTCTCACCCCCCCCCCCCCCCGCCCCGTGTGTTAAAGACAGGGGTCAGAAACAGTGTTTCCTCTAAGCTGATTTAGTGTGAGCCAGCTCACAGTTTTTTAGCGTCCAGCTCACACATTTTTGTCTTAGCTCAGGATGGATTGCTCCAGACCAAACTAATTTATGCAGTAGACAAATTGCTCGCTCACAACTTTCATGCCAGAAGCTCACAAAGCAGAATTTTTGCTCACAAGACTCCACAGCTTAGAGAGAACACTGGCTCAGAAGCACTTCCTTCCTTCCTATTAATTTTCGGAAGTGCCTACTAACTGCACTCCACGGCAGCTCACAATAATCAAAAACTTTACGTAAAATAACGTCACATTTCTTAAAAGGCGGTGATGACTTATGAAGGCAGGGACGCACACACACAATGATATCCAACACCCTCTCCACAGTTCTCTTGCGACAACTGATGCTCTTCAACAGTTTCTCTGACAGCTGTGAGGAAAGCAGCTCTGCCTCTAAACAGTGCTACCTAGCAACCAAGCCCGGGTAGCACCAGATGACTTGTGGGGTGGGGGATGCTTTTCTTTACACAGGCAGATGGAGATGCCACAACTTCCGGCTCTTCCCAGCAGCAGTGAGTGATGCAGGCACTGGAGTGGGGGGGTGGGAAGGATGACACAGACTGCCCTCTCCCCAATCCTCTGAGGTGATTTTTCTCTTCATTTTTGGAATTTCCTTCCCTTAGAATCCTGCCAGAACTGCTGTCAGTGGCTTCTAAGCAAATAATACGTTCTGTTATTGTAATATATCCAGTTCAGACCGCGTGGCCAGCTTGGGCTCCATGCGGTCAAGCCCAAACGTTGAGCTTCGCACAAAGAGAGAATGGATGATGCGGATCCTAGCCCACGCCAATCAGTGGGCTAGGCTCCCGGCCGAGAGCCTATGGAACTCTTGGCCACTGTAAATAACCTATTGGGAAGTGGGGGGGTGTTTTGGGCGGTGGTTTCACGGGGAATATAAGCCGGCCTGCGAGCCGGCCAACGTCATCTTGTTCCTGAGTGAATAAAGTACGCTTTGCTGAAACCACTCTCCGTCTGCGTACTTTTCACTGGCGACGAGGATGGGATTCATCTCCCTCGGAACAGAGACCACGTTCCGGGCATCGCCTTGAGTCGCCGCGCTGAAATCGCCACCGCCGCCAGCATCGTGCAAAAGTGCCGCTCATCGCAGCGCTCAGTTATCATCAAAGCAGGCACCTGGTGGCCAGCGATAACTAAGGGATTTATTTTGTACCTTTTAAAAAATACAGTACCTTACAATTGCTATTTAAAAAACAAACCCTACTTCAAATTAGAGCATACATGTTAATACCCACATGCGCAGTCTTCTTACCTTTTCCATATCCTGTGGTGTTGCTGTTAAAAGCGTGTGGCCGGATGTTATCCACTGGCGTGCAAAAATTACATACTGACCAAGACCCAAGTCCTCAAGCCAGTTACAAACTCGTTCATTGCCCCACTGGGCAAAGGGGGCATTATGATCACTAGGAAGGATAAAGAAGAGCGTGAGATTCACATCGTATAGTTATCATTAGATTCCACGGCACTTACGGCCAGACCTTTTTTTCACAACAATCCTGCAGTCATTGGGGGGTGGGGAAAAGAGAGTCTGAGGATCTCCCAGGCCTCTGCAGTTGTCCTGGCCCGAAGGAGAAGGGACGCAGAGCCTGGTTATTGAGCTTTGGGCACCAAGAGGTTGAGCTTGTGAGAGAGAAGCCCTCCACCCCCTGGCACAGCTCAGCCAATCGCACGGTCACCTGTCAGGACACAGAGATGCATTGGCTCCCTTGCCTCTTATGCACACGAGGCTTGCAGTATCCGCTTGCTCTCTTGTGTAATATTAAATATTAATAAGCTATCATTTATTTATTTAGAAAGAAAGTTCTGGCACCTCTCCAGGGAACCTGGCAGAGGCCGCTTGCGGAACAGAATATAACAGAAACAGAAGACGTTAAAAGTTAAAATCCAAAAATTTAGCAACCCAGGTAAAGGTAAAGGTTCCCCTTGCTCGAAAGCCAGTCGAGTCCGGCTCTAGGGTTGCGGTGCTCATCTCCGTTTCAAAGCCGAAGAGCCAGCGCTGTCTGAAGACGTTTTCCGTGGTCACGTGGCCGGCGTGACTAAACACCAAGGTGCACGGAACGCTGTTACCTTCCCACCGAAGTGGCACCTATTTATCTACTTGCAATTTCTTGCTTTCGAACTGCTAGGTTGGCAGGAGTTAGCAACCCAGGCAGAGCATAAAAGTAGAGAGCATCTTATAATAGCTGTCTTCAGATTAAAAGCACTCTATGAAATGGTGTCACAGGAGGACCAACTCCTTAATTAAAAGCCTGGCACCTAAAAAACAGCCGCACAGGGATTAAGGTGAGCTTCAAGGGGAAGGGCACGCCGTAAACAAGATAAGATGCCACTGCTGAGAATGCCCTGTCTCTGGTTGTCACCCACCTCACCTCAGAAGATTGGGGGGGGGGCACTGAGAGCAGGGCTCACGAGGCTGACCTTAACTGGCAGACTGGATACTATGGGATGCGGGGGTAACCAAGGCATTTAGGGCATTCAAGGGAACAACTGGCGTTTTGTATTGTGCCTGGAAACAAGTGGCTAGCCAGCGGTGATCTTTCAGCACCCATGTGATACGATCCCTGTATCCTGTGCGGGACGATAGCCTGGTTGCTGCATTTTGGACCAGCTGAAATTTCTGGACCACTTTCAGAGGCAGCCCCACGTGGGACACATTACAGCCATCTAACCTGGACGTTATTAGATCGTGGATCATTAATGAAGTGGAATATTAGAACTGGGGAAACAGAGAGGGCAGTGTGTACGTCCTAAAGTTACCCAGAAACTTCATCAGTTCTGACCTTCTCTGCCAATTTAGCACGGCCAAGGAACAGAACCCAAGGTGAGAAAGCATAGTCAGAGGCAAGAGCTACAAAAGCTCAGCTCGTAATGGTCTCCACTAAGTAAACAGACTGCCGTCAGGGATACTGTGTGGAGGGCAGAGGTGTCAAAACCTGCCCCTGCCCTGGATGGTGCTGCCACCTAGTGTCCCTACAACAGATAGCCTGCATCTGTTTCAAAGTTCTGAAACCAATTGCTTTACTGGCTCCCCCCCCGCCCCCGCCCCCCCCAATGATGATAAGAACTTTACCAATATTTCTCTAATGGAAGAAAGAGGAAATGTTTGTTAGGAAACCTCTCTACAGAGTTGCAAGGTAAGTAGCGAATTTCACTGGACACCAGTCAACACAGATGATAACAAAACACTCCCTTCTGAAATATTTAATAGTAAGCAGTCAGCATTTACTTCTTCTGTCCCTTGGTTTCCTTTGACCGAGACAATCTAGGTCCAGCTGTTGCGCGGAGGCCACCTCTCCGAAACTCAACCAAGCCCAGATCATCTCCTGGGAAATTGCCAGACTGGGTCCTGCGTATTCTTTTGGGAGGGATTAAAAATATTAAAAATAACTCTGCCAGGCATTAAAATGCAAGCAATATCATTTCTAACACAAGATCTCAATCTCCATATGCATACTGTGAATGGATCCCTCCTCTCACAAGAGACTTTGCAAGAGAAATGTTTAATTTGCACTCTGCTAGTGTTCAGAGGCTAGTCTAAAAAAGAGAGTCCCTAGCCAGACAAAGTAAAACCAGTTTCCCCAGTTACCTTTCAACCCGACTGGCATGTTAATGGTGGGTTAGCCAACAGAACAAGATTTTTCTCCTGTAGCAACAGAACCCACCAAAAGACTAACAATTTTCCA